CTTAAAGAACAGATATGAGGCCCTGGACCCAGAGAATCAGGTAGAGGACAGTCAGGAGGAAGATCTGTCTGGAGGGTCTCCTGGTTGCACTCTGTCTACCAGACGGATTGCAACCACAGCTATAAAGAAAAGGAGAAGGGTAGTTGTAGTCGGTGACTCCCTTCTGAAGGGAACTGAGGGCCCTATATGTCAACCGGACCCTTCCCACAGGGAGGTCTGCTGCCTTCCTGGGGCCCAGGTGAGGGATATTAGTAGGAGACTCCCTGAGCTAATTAGGCCCTCTGATTATTACCCACTGTTGGTAGTTCAGGCTGGCAGTGATGACATTAATGGAAGAAGTACCAGGGTGATTAAAAAGGATTTCAAGGCACTGGGTAGATTAGTTAATGGGACAGGAACACAGGTGGTGTTCGTCTCTATTCCTGCAGTAGCAGGGATGAACGAGGAGAGGAGTAGGAAAACCCATCTCATCAATAGGTGGCTAAAGGATTGGTGCCACCAGCGGAATTTTGTTTTTTTTGACCATGGGGCAAATTCCATGGTACCTAGTCTCCTCAAATCAGATGGGCTTCATCTATCTAGCACGGACAAAAGGACTATAGCCCGTAAGATGGCAGGGCTTATCAGGAGGCCTTTAAACTAGGTTTGAAAGGGGAAGGGATTGAAACTGGGCTCTCCAGAGATGAGCCTAAGGGTGGAAAGCCCGGGTCAAGAGCGAAACCAGCAGCCCAGCTGAAGTGCATGTACACCAATGCACGCAGCATGGGTAACAAACAGGAGGAGATGGAAGCCATCGTGCAGCAGGAAAGTATGATGTAGTCACCATCACAGAAACGTGGTGGGATGACTCACATGACTGGAGTGCTGCCATGGATGGCTAAAAGCTCTTCAGAAAGGATAGGCAAGGTAGGAGAGGTAGAGGGGTAGCTCTATATGTTAGTCTCTTGACACCATAGAACTCAAGGTCAGTAACGATAAGGTTGAGTGCCTGTGGGTCAAAATCAGGGGGAAGGCCAACAAGGCTGATATCCTGGTGGGAGTCTGTTACAGACCACCCAACCAGGATGATGAGGATGATGAATTATTCTACAAGCAGCTGGCAGATGTCTCAAAATTGCCAGCCCTTGTTCTTGTGGGTGACTTTAACCTGCCGGATTGTCATAGTTCGTATTTTTAGCAAGGAATTTTTCTTTCCTTTCCTCCTGCCGTGTGTGTGTGCTCTGTGATGGGCCATTTAGTTGAACAAAGGAATCGGCTCGAGCCCCTAATAGTCGAGATTTGTTTCCTTGACAACGAAGGGGGGAGTTGGCTGGTGTGTGACTGGAAGGGGGTGGAGGCTGGGGGGGGAGGAGAGTCTCTCTCTCTCTCGGCCGGGGTGAGAGGCTGCTGCGGGCTGCAGACACTGCCGGGTTCCTTTGTTTTTTTTTCCTGTCGGAGGGGAGCTCTGGCTGCTGCTCTTGGCTCACCTCTGGCTGACTGCAAGCCCTGCTTACAACAGACCCTAATCAGCTGAAGTTTGTGAGTTTTCTTCCATTGGGAGAACTTTCTGTTTTATTGCTGTTGTTTTTCCTTCCCCTCCTTTTCTCCCCTCCACCACCTGGTGGCAGCGAAGGATCTCACAGTGCTGCCTGGTGACGGGCACTGGACATTACAAGTTCTACTCCTTCAGTGACCCAACAGCGCCACCTGGTGAATGGTACAGGACATTACAAATTTTACATCTCCAGTGACCCGACGGCGCCCCCTGCTGACTGTGGTTGGAACTGCACCAAAGGGTGCAAGAAATTGAACTATTTTCCTTTTACCGGTTTATCGGTTTTGTTCTTGAAGGGGATTATTGGTGGGTATAGGAGTATTACTTAGTTATTTTACTTGGTTTTTTTTTTGGTTTTTTTTTTTTTTCGTGTTCCTGTTAATACACACATACCTTTTAATAAAGGGCTGTTATTTTCCCTTTTCCATAATTTGTTTTCCTTCAATCGAAGCCTCTTAATTTTGGATTTATAATTGCTTGGAAAGAGAAGTTTGGGTCTTTTCCTCCTAATTCATCCTCAGCAAAAGACCCTTGTCTCATTTAAACTGGGACACGGATGTCTGCTGGGAACTCCACACAGCAGAGAAGAGGCAATCTAGGAGATTCCTAGAGCGTATAGAGGATAATTTCCTGCTCCATCTGGTAAAGGAGCCTACCAGAGATGGGGCCCTGCTAGACCTTCTGTTCACAAACAGAGAGGGGCTGGTGGGAGATGTGGTGGTCAGAGGCCATCTGGGGCACAGTGACCATGAAATAAGAGAGTTTTCAATACTCAGGGATGCAAGGAGGCCCATCAATAAAACCTCTACGCTGGACTTCCCAAGGGCAGATTTCGACCTTTTCAGAAGACTACTTCAGAGTGTACCCTGGGAAACTACCCTTGAAAACAAAGGGGTCCAGGAAGGATGGACATGCTTCAAGAAGGAAGTCCTGACTGCACAGGAGCAGGCTGTCCCAGTCTACTGAAAGGTAAGCCGACAGGGAAGACGACCGGTCTGGTTGAACAGGGAGATTTTAAAGGAAATTAGGGTAAAAAAGAGAGTTATGGAAAAAAGGGCTGGCTACTCAGGAAGAGTTTAGGAATATAGTTAGGTCTTGCCAAAAGAAAACCAGAGAGATGAAGGCAGAACTTGAACTGCATCTTGCCATTCTGTTAAGGATAACAAAAAGGGCTTGAAGGAGGACCCAGGAAACTACAGACCCGTCAGCCCGTCCTCAGTGCCTGGCAAGGTTATGGAGCAGATCATCCTGTGTGCAATCACACAGCAGCTACAGGATGGACAAGGGATCAGAGCCAGCCAGCACAGTTTTAGGAAGGGCAGGTCCTGTCTGACCAACCTGATCTCCTTTTATGATCAGGTGACCCGCCTGGTGGATGAAGGGAAGGCTGTGGATGTGTCTACCTGGACTTCAGCAAAACCTTTGACACCATCTCCCATAGCATTCTCCTGAAAAATCTGCAGCCCACAGCTTGGACAGGGGCACTGTGCTGGGTTAGGAACTGGCTGGAGGGCCAGGCCCAGAGAGTGGTGGTGAACGGTGCTGCATCCAGTTGGTAGCCGGTCACTAGTGGTGTCCCCAGGGATCAGTGTTGGGCCCAGTTCTCTTTAATATCTTTATTGATGATTTAGATGAGGGGATTGAGTCCACCATTAGCAAATTTGCCGATGACACCAAGTTGGGGGGGAGTGTCGACCTGCTGGAAGGCAGGAGGGCTCTGTGGAGGAACCTGGACAGACTGGAGAGTTGGGCTGATTCCAACGGGATGAGGTTCAACAAGGCCAAGTGCTGGGTGCTGCACTTTGGCCAAAACAACCCCCTGCAGCGCTACAGGCTGGGTACAGAGTGGCTGGAGAGCAACCAGGCAGAAAGGGACCTGGGAGATTGGATTGACAGGAAGCTGAACGTGAGCCAGCAGTGTGCCCAGGTGGCCAAGAAGGCCAATGGCTTCCTAGCCTTTATCAGGCATAGTGTGGCCAGCAGGACCAGGGAAGTGATTCTTCCCCTGTACTCAGCACTGGTGAGGCCACAGCTCAAGTGCTGTGTCCAGTTCTGGGCCCCTCAGTTCAGGAAGGATATTGAGGTGCTGGAGCAGGTCCAGAGAACAACAAGGCTGGTGAAGGGACTTGAGCACAAGTCCTATGAGGAGAGGCTGAGGGAGCTGGGATTGTAGTCAGATGGGGATTGGTCTCTTCTCCCAGGCAGCTACCAGTAATTCAAGAGAGCACGGTCTTAAGCTCTGCTAGGGGAGGTTTAGGTTGGATATTAGGAAGAAATTCTTTACAGAGAGGCTAATCAGGCATTGGAATGGGCTACCCAGGGATGTGGTGGATTCTCCATCCCTGGAGGTATTTAAGAAGAGACTGGATGCGGCACTTAGTGCAATAGTCTAGTAACCACAGCAGTAGTGGATCAAGGGTTGGACTTGATGATCTCAGAGGTGCTTTCCGACCCATCTGATTCTATGATTCTATGATTCTATGATTCTGTACTTTGTACTGGTGATGCTGCATCTCAAGTACTGTGTTCAGTTTTGGGCCCCTGAATTCAGGAAGGACTTTGAGGTGCTGGAGGAGGTCTGGAGAAGGGCAACAGAGCTGGGGAAAGGTCTAGAGAGTAAGTCATGTGAGGAGCAGCTAAGGGAACTGGGGTTGTTTAGTCTGGAGAAAAGGAGGCTCAGGGGGGATCTTATCACTCTCTACAACTTCCCGAAAAGGGATTGTAGTGAGGTGGGTGTCAGTCTCTTCTCCCAGATAACAAGTAGCAGGATGAGAGGAAATGGCCTGAAGTTGCACCAGGGGAGGTTCAGGTTAGATATTAGGAAAAATTTCTTCACTGAAAGGGTTGTAAAGCATGGAACAGGCTGCCCAGGGAAGCGGTGGATTCACTATCCCTGGAGGTGTTCAAAAGGCATGGGGACATGGCACTTGGGAAAAGTGGTGAACACAGTGGTGCTGGGTTATGGGAACAAGCTGAGTCAGATGCACCTGAATTCAGTTAATTAGAATCAAAAGGGAATGTTTCAGCCTTGGAGCTGAGAAGGAGTGTGTGAATCAAAACACTGAGTTTTCAAAAAGTCATGGGAATTCTAGTTAACTGAATGACACCACCAGGTGTTGTTTACTAAAAGAATCCTAATAAAAGGGGAATGCAGAGAAAACTCTGTGGAGAATCCTAAAACCCAAATCATGGTGTGTGTGTGCAGCGTCATTTCTTCAGCGCCCATATTTGCCATACTGGGTTAATGGTTGGACTCAATGATCTTGGAGGTCTTTTCCAACCTTAATGATTCTAGCTGTCCAAACTAAACTTAAAAAAGTCAAAACCTTTTATTTTTCATTTAAAGAAAAACAAATTCAAAACAATTTGATCCCACTAACCTGACAACCTGTGAATTTTATCCCACTTGACATGGTCTTGGAACTAAAAAGTGCAATATTTACTTAAAACACTTTTCCAGACTTACTTTTTTAGCTGATGTCCCAGCCCAAATCTTTCCTTAGTAGAGATCTGAAATACATCCACAGTTGGCACTACAGAAAAAGGATATATCATTGATATACAAACTTAAAACAATAATCAATAACTCATGATCATACAAGTCATATTAAAATACTCTGTTCTATCAGGACCTTTACCATAGGCAATGCCATTGAACAAATAATGAAAGAAGACGTCATATCAGTTTATGAACAAATGAATACACGATTTGTAATCATCATCTAATTGCCTGATGTATGAATTCCAGTGGCCAAGGATTACCTTGAATTTTCCTCAAGACCTGTCCTATTGTTGGTATATCCATATTTATCTGTCAGAAAATTGAAAGTGTAAGGGGTGAAGGTTGGAAGTCAGGTCCTGGTATTACTAAAATCCTTTAATAGCATTTACTAGATAGAAGGGGCATGTGGATTTCAGCACTTGTTGAGAGACTCTCAGGTCCTCGAGGCAGGGCAACAGCCAACACATATTACAAGTATGAATAGACTTTGTATTAAATAAGGAAGTAGTGACTATAGTAAAATAAAAAGGAATGAAAACAAGAATCTGGGGCTGATTTAAATTTAATTTAAAAAGGAAAATCAGTATTTTGAAATCTATATTATTCTAATCACTAAGAAAAACAGATTTCATTCAGAATATCAAAGTTTACCCTTTATTTTCCCATTAATAAATTTATTTTTAAAATAAAATGCAATATATATATAATCTGACTATCCAATTTCACTTAATTCAAAGCACCATAGATACCTTTCCTTTAATGCTATTTTTCAAATATAATCTCATCTTTTAATGACAAACTGATGAATTTTTCAAAAGGGACAAATATTTTGATTAGGGGTAGCAATGTCTTTAGATTGTCAAATTTAGGATGTGGCACGGGGAGAATATTTTCAATATGAATCATCATACCTAGATCAGCAATCTTAAAATTTGATATCTAGATTACAATTGTTGTCTAAGCTCTATAGCCAGAGGACACAGGACAGTACCTCCAAAGGCTGATTCATCCTAATGTAAGACAAGTTTCTAAGGCACATGGGAGAAACTGCCCACAGGTACAATGATAAGATATTAATTAGTAGAATAACTATCTAAAATCAGGATATTAAACAGCTACAATGTGGTAGGTATACCTCTTGTGTTTTCGAGTATACTGCATTTCTGTTTCTTCTATCACTGAAAAGAAAGTACTCTAAGAGAAAAATATGTTGCATAAAATTATGGCCCAATAGTCTCAAAACAACATAATTAAGGGGGAAGAGGAATACACAAAGAGTTTTGTTAGCACAAAAGATGTTGGATCTCATTCTCCTTTGGTAAATAAATAAACACGGCTGCAACAGCAGCTGAGCTCATTAAACCAGTAGCAGTGAAGCACTTGCCTCTGGCCCTGATCTTGCCTTTCTTGGTATTCAGGCACTCCCACAATCAGTCAGCTTCAGGACTGGGAACTAAGCTTCCTGTTTTAAACTTGTTAATGGTGCAGAAGATATCTTGTTACTTCTAATGTCACTAAATCATTTCGTACTGCATGCTGCTCTTTGTGCTTCACCCTCTCTTATTTGCTGCACTTTTTTATTTTTTAAATTACATTTTGATAGAAATATTCTGAATACTAACACTGCTACCTGCTATGGCAAATACATTTTCTAAGATCTGCATATTTACAAAAAAGATTGCAGCAATAAAATACAAAAAGACCAAAGTCAAGCAAAAAAAAAAACCAAACAAAAAAAACCCTGATGTAATGAAATGCTTATTTGAATGAACAGAATATGGCTTATAGTTAGAATCGACAGACAACATATCCTATAAAAATAGCTCATTGGGACAGATTTTGCTAAATATATTATGATTGGAAATATCGATTGATTTTCCAGAGGCAGAATTCTCCCACAGATACAAGCCTGCACTGATAGCTTGCACTGGAAGCCTCCAAAATCAAGTAAGTTATGTTTCAAATGACACACTTAGTTTTGTCTTCCCATTGTAAAAATATATCTGGAATTGACTCTTGCATATGGATGTTTCCAAATCTTTAATCTCAGTTGATTCTTCATGAGTCTGACCATTTTTGCTCTCATGAGACAGCCTTACTCACCAGAGTAGGTTGTCAACATTTAAAATTCTCATCCAAATTTAAAGATCCCCAGAGTACCCACAGTCACACAGAAATCAGAAGCTGGCAGGATAATTATCATGACCTGATTCTTCAAAGGTGCATGAAAAAGGGCATATGTCCTGCACAGATCTGTGTATGTATACCTTATTGGTGATATTTGCATCTGTGAAGATGATCCCTGATTTCCAAAATCAGGAAATCATATATAAGAAAATGTTGATCTTTATTCCTTAACCCCTAGTTCCTAGGGGAAGCAGCTGCATTTCAAAGGATATCAAGAAAAGAAGTTCCAAAACTCAACCTATGAAAGTTTAAACTAATGTCCATCTGATTACTGAGGGCGTAGCCATGCAAATATACATAAGCATAATATCAAACTAGTAGGACTGCTCTCAGTGGTAGATTTAAGTGCATGCAGGATCAAAGATTTGGCAGAGCATCTATCACCTAGTACATGGCTTAGATCAAGACACCATACAGTCACATGAAGAATACATTGGTGACTAACCTGGACCATTTAAATACTGTGTAAGTGAACAGTGCAATCGCACTATTATAGGTTCTGTGCGAATTACATTCCAAGACACAGCAATCTCTTCCTAGTTCAAGATAAAAAGAAAACAACAGACACCATTAGCTATCATGAGGAACTGTTGCATTTTGTCAGTCTACCTTAGGGTTGTTATAAACACCATCCATCTATTTAGCCAGTCATGGAATATCTATTCCAACTTTAAACTTGATACACATGACAAACTATTGCCTGCTAATGCCTCTAAAAGCATTGTTAGGCTGCTTCCAGCTCTTGAGTATGCTCACTTAAACTGAACACGGGTTTCTACACAACACTACATCTGCAATGCAGGCAGACGTTACCATCAATCAAGAGATACTGCTTCAAAGCTGAGAAGCAAAGAAGCAAATAAAGATGGAAAGGAAACTCATGGCATGACAAAGGAAATGTTTGCTCCTTCTTAAGACTGATTACAATAATTCAAGGTATGATCAGATTTTCTTAAATTTTAGAAGAGTTTGAGAACCTATGTGCTGTGATGACCTGAGAAAATGACATACCTGTGCAAAAGCTAATGATGCCCCTAAAAGCAGTAATTTTCATTCTACATCTAGAGGACAGGAAGTTACTGCACAGATGAGGTGAGGAAATGTGGAGTTACTGACAGCATAACTGTTATAGGAGCCATGCTGCTAGTTGACAGCACCACTGTGCTGTCTCCTTTGTCACTGAAGCCTCTCCCTAATCAGCTGCAGATGCTGAGAAGCACACAGGAAAGCTCCAGCCAAGGTCTTCCTCCCTCTAGGACTCTGTGAAGTGTTTTCACCTAACTAATGTCTAGGATAGCAAAAAAAAAAGTATTTCATTTATATCAGTTAAAACATTTACCATTCACAAAGCATATTTGGAAGGAAATACATATGCAGTAAATAAAAGCCTACAACACATTTTAACAATGTGATCATAAAAAAAAAAAGAAAGAAACCTTTCCAGTGAGTAACAATCAATAATGTGACAGTCACTTATGAAGATCAAGTCTCTGAAAAAGCAAAGTCTCAGTGGTTTTCTAGAGAGTCTGATGTATAGCAGAATTAAACGGGTATTAATGTTCATTATTTAACCCTGTGATTAGATTACTTACATCAAGAAAGCTAACATCAATACGCAGATCAATATCCACATCATCAATAGTTCCATATTCCCTGAAAGAAAAGAATTACATCACATTAGAGCTCTTAAAGACACTCCTCAGCCCATAAGTACTTATAATATTTTCTAAGGGTAATCTTGTGTGTAAAGTCAGAATGATGATAAAATACACATTTACATAGATTGGATCAATATTCCCAGTGGGTGACTGCTGCACTGAAACCTTCTTTCAGTAGATCTTGCTTAAATAGGCTATATCTTTTTTCTACTAATTCCTCAAATTTTCTTTTCATTGATGCTATGTAAAGAAAATAATAATGGTCACATGCTACTCCTATTTATGACCAAAAAAATGCTAGTTAATTTTTACAAGTATTTTAGACTAACAGGCAGCAACTTAGAATCATAGAATCAGAATATCCTGATTTGGACGGGATCCACAGGGATCATCTAAGTCAAACTCCTGGCCTTGCAAAGGACATCCCCATGAACCACACCATGTGCCTGAGAGTATTTGTCCAAATGCTTCTTCAACACAGACAGGCTTGGTTGTCAGCTGTGGATTCTGCTTGGATTTTCATCAGGGAGGAATTGTTTTGGGAGGTTTTTTTTTTTGCCTTCCCCATTCCCGTTTGTTTCTTTCCTAGTAGTGGTTCTTGTGCACATCAAAGGGAGAGAAAAAACTATACCACATGATTCGATCAGCAGAACAGAGTGAGTTTTTTCCCATTGGGGAGGACCTTTTTTTTGTTGTTTCTCTCCCTTCTCTCTCTCCCCATTCCCAGTGTGTGGGGGGGAGGGAAACCCATTTTTCTGGTTTCTCCAACACATCCCGGAGGGTGTCACCCCACGTGGCAAGGACCAGTTATCCCACAGCGCCCCCTGCTGACCAGCACAAAGCACTGCAGGCTCTGCATTTCCAGTGATCCAACAGCACCCCCTGTTGACTGTGGTTAGAATTGCACCAAAGGGCACAAACTGAACTGTTTACTTTTTTTTTCTTTGCTTGTTTATTGGTTTGTTTTGAAGGATTTATTTGTGGGTATAGGAGTATTGTTTGGTTACTTTACTTGTTTTCGTTTACTTGTTGTTTCTGCCAAATACACATATATCTTTTAATAAAGGGCTGTTATTTTTCCATTTTTCCACATTTTTTTCCCCTCAATCAGAGCCTCTTAACTTTGGATTTACAATTGCTTAGAGGGAGGAGTTTGGGTCTTCCTCATAACTCATCCTCAGCAAAACACCTGTGTCTCATTTAATCTGAGACACCTGCCCAGACTAAACAGGGTTCACCACCCATATCCATAATGTAGCACTGCAGAGCTTGTGTCATCGTGTTCTCACATTGCACCCCTGGGCCCATGCAGGGAATGCTGTATATAAAACACACACTGGGGGCCAATGTACTCTAGACCAGGCTTTCTCAGTGGGAGGGCTATATCAGTGGCTGCAGCAGAAGGCAAACAATATCCCACAAGGACAAGAGGAAATGACAAGTGCTTGTCATCTCACAGAGTACGAGACCCTTGGGTTAAGTATCAAAACTGGAGTTGCTAAACAGCACAGATTTGTGTAGTGGTCAGCTGCACCAAAGTCCAAAATGACACCAGACAAATTGATCATGTCTGCATAGCCAATTCCATGTGCTTTATAAGAAATTAAATAATTTTCCTTTGGTAGTTTCCAAGTGTGGTAAAGCCAGTGTTCTCTTGATACTCGACAGTCATTACAGGTTGACTCACTTTCTTATTGCTGAACAGTCAACAGGTTTGTTTGGGGGTTGGAGAAGTAAGAAGTGAAAGGGATGTGTGCCCATTTGCTGGCTTTACCAGACTTGTTCAGGATGGAAGAGACTTGAGATCACCTAGGCCAACCTCCTGCTCAAAGCAAGGTCAACAGTGACCAGATCATTCAGGTCTTTTATTCCGAGTCCTGAAAACCTTGACTCTTGATGCAGACTCTTGGGGCAACCTGCTCCAATATTTGACAGCCCTTGTGATAGAGAATTTTTTCCATCCATTGTTTTAGTTGAATGGATCATACCCTCTGCTATACAGCACTGTGAAGAGCCTGTCTCTGTCCTCTCACTAACCTCATTGTAAGTACTGGGGACTGCTGTTAAATACACCCTAAAACATCTCTCCTCTGGCCCGAACAAGTCCAGCTCTCTCAGCCTGTCTTTACAGGGCAAGTGCTCCAGCCCCTGGTGATCCCCATCGAATTCAAGCTGTAAATGTGTCTTTTGTAGGAGAGCTTCAGACTGGATGCAGTATTCCAGATTTGTTGTCTCAGTTTAAATGAGACACAAGTGTTTTGCTGAGGATCAGTTATAACGAAGACCAAAACTCCTCCCTCTAAGCAATTGTAAATCCAAAATTAAGAGGATCCAATTGAGAAAAAAATGTGGAAAAAGGAAGAATAACAGCCCTTTATTAAAAGATATATGTGTATTGGAAGAAACAATGAAAGAACACAAGTAGAACAACCAAACAATAATCCTATACCCAGAAATAATCCCCTTCAAAACAAACAAACAAACAAAAAAAAAAAAAGGTAAACAGTTAGTTTGCATCCTTTGGTGCAATTCTAACCACAGTCAGTAAGAGGTACTGTTGGATCACTGGTGGTCATCATGTGGGGGGTTCCTGGATGTGCTAGAGAAGCCGAAAATGGAGATCTTCCCTCCCCTCCCATACCGGGAAAGGGGAGAGAGAGGAGGGAAAGAAAGAAAAAGGTCCTTCCCAATGGGAACTCACTATGTCCTGTTGGCTGGGTGGTGTGGTATAGCTTTCCCTCTCCTTTGATGTGCACAAGAACTGCTGGAAAAAAAATAAAACGGAGGAGGAGAGGCCTACCAAACAGTTCCTCGACAATGAAAATCCAAGTAAAATTCCCAGTTGGCAGCCAGGCCAAGAACAAAGCCACCTCTGAGCTCCTGCTACCCTGACCTTGTTCCAGCTTCAGCAGCAACCTAACTCCTCCCCCCGTTTCCCAGGAGAGGAGAGAAAAAAAAGCTAAAAAGAACTCCTCACCCCTCCCCACAGACAAGATCTTGAGGGCCATCAATTTGGAATATGGTTTTACCAGCCACTTCTTTTGTGTTAGTCAGTGGCCCAAGCCACAGCCAACCTGCGTATTCAACATCCCTTTCACACCGTGGTCAGGGGGAAGGAAAAATTCCTGCTTAGTTTCTAAGAACAAACAAAACCATGACATTTGGGTTTAAAGTACTGAGTACAGGGGTGCAGTCATATCCTTTAGTGTACTTACACACTGTTTAAAGATCAATGTTGTTGTCACAAGGGCACAGAAAACTGAGGCTTCAGTTTTCTCTTCTGTGAACCTTTACATCAGGGCCCAGCCATCCTAGCTTATGCTTCCCAGTTAGAGGCACAATTTCAAAATCTTCTGAGCTCTCCCTGATACCCCCATATGGATGCTTGTACACATGTTCTTTCCCAATGTCTCAGTTTAATGAGACTGAAGTGTTTTGCCAAGGAGGATGAGTTATGAGGAAGACCAAGCTCCTCCCTCTAAGCAACTGTAAATCCAAAATTGAGAAGCTCCAATTGAGGAAATATGGAGAAAGGAAAAATAACATCCCTTTATTAAAGGATATATGTGCATTGGCAGAACAACAAAAGAACACAAAAAAACCTAAACAATAATCCTGTACCCAAAAACCCCCTTCAAAAAGGAAACAGTTCAGTACTTTCTGCCTTTTGGCGCAATTCTACCCACAATCAGCAGGGGGTGCTGTTGAATCTCTGGAGGAGCAGAGCCTGCAGTTGCTCCTTGTTTGCCAGCAGGGGGTGCTGTTGGGCTCTGGCGATCACCACGTGGGGCCCCAGTGTGCGGGAGAAGCCAACAATGGAAATTTCCCCCCCTACCAAGAAGGGGAAGGGGAAAAGGGGAAAAAAGGGGGTTCTTCCTGCAAACTCATACTGTTGGCATGCTGGCTCCAGCTGGGACTCCCCCAAAGGTTCCTTCACAGATGGGTCAAGCCTCTCCGACAAAATCTGAGCAAGTCTGGGCTGGGGGCAGAACAGGGTGCAGGAGAATGGAGGTGAACAGGGGCCAGAAGCAGACAAATGACCTGGCCGAAAACAAAGCCAACAACCTTAGAGCCTTTCCTTACATACCCTCCCTGAGTCAGGACAAAAGTGGAGTGCCATTTCCCAAGGACAGAGAAAAAAAACTCCTCACCTTCCCCCCCTCCCCTCTAGTCTTCTCAGGGCTGTCAGTCTGGAATGTGGGTCTGCTAGCTAGTTCCTTTGTGTGTCAATCACCCTAGGCAAACACCTTCTCTTCCCTTGTTCAACATCTTTCTTTTACAGTGGTGCAGGGGAAAGAAAAAAAATCCCCTCTTGGTTTTTTAAGAACAAGTAAACCTATGACACCCAAAAAGGATTTTCTTTTTGCCCTTGATGACTCAGAGCTTTTTGGATTTCTTTAACTTTTGTAGATGTTAGAAGTAGTTGTGTAGTGGATGTAGATTTTAATGTAGCTGCATTATATCCCTTACCCTGTAGCATAATAGTTACACATACTCAACCCTATGATCCCATTTCATATTAACTCCTCTAACATTCCATTAGCGAGTTTAGTCTTCTTTTCAAGGTAGAACTGTAGAAAAACATCCTAAGGCCTGGATCAGAAGATATCACACAGACACAGAGACCTTCAAGCCCAGAACTTTGGAGGACCTCCAAGGACTGAACGTGCTGTGAAGAAGATGGAAATGAGGAAGAAGAGGTCTCAAACGGCCCTAGACCCAATTCCCGAAGGGGCTAGTCAGGGGCAGAACTGGGCAGAACTGGGGGGTGGACAGATCTGGGATTGGATGGACCTTATTATAAAATCATAGAACCACTGTCTGGGGGCGCACATGATGTGTATTTCCCCGGCCTGAGGACTGATTAAAGGACCTACTCTCTTTATCTTATACATTATATTGGCCTGGAGTCTTTGTCTCTCTTAAAGGCAACAATTTGACACCTAAAAGGTGGAAATATTGAAATCCAGCACCCTGAACACCTGGGATCTGTGA